TGCTCCGGGCAGAGGGAACCCGCCTGCACCTGCCAGCGGACACACTGAGCCAGGCCCACCCGCCGCCCCTTTAAGCCTGGGAGTCCCCGGCCTCGCCCCGTGCTCCCCACTGGGGAGGTTGCGTCCTCCCAGAAATCGGAGAGTGCTCAGGGAGGCGGCCGCACAACACTGCTAAGCGTCTGCCGTGTTAAGCCATTGCCACGAAACCACCTTTATTGTTTACCCACCTCGAGCATAAGTAATTCCGTGGGACGTGTATTCGCACTGGAAGCCACGGTCACATCCAGGGTCGCAGCAACGGGCGGGGAGGGCGTGGCAGCCGGTCACCTGTAGCCATTAGGCCCCCGTGTTTTTGTAACTGAAATGGTTCCTGTGTAACATAATAAACCCGCAGAAACGGTTCCAGCACTCGCTCCTTGGGGCTTCCGCTTTCCTGCACGAAACCTCGTTGCCCAGGTCCTTCAGGTTGTGTTTTTCCCGAAGTGATTCTCCCGTCTGTTCCGGGCGGTGCAGGGGGTGGTGGGCACGGCCGAGCGTGGAGAGCGGGTCACCCCGGGGGAGGGGGGGTTTCCATCTGAGGCCCCTGTTGGCCAGATGTCAACGCTCCTGCCGTGCCCTCCGCCCCTGCAGGGGGTGGGCCTGCCGCTCCTGTCCCCCCTCCCCCCGGGCATGGCTTTGCTGGCCGCCTGCCCTCCAGAGAGTTGGAAGCTGACACGCACTGGGCCACGGTCCTCACGTCCGTCCCAGACCGTCCCTAAGGCGGCCCTGAAACGCACTCTATGGAAACGCTGTCACCTCCTCAGTGAGACAGATGAACCCTCCAGGCCTCCGTGTTTGTTGGAAGTTCTCCCCCCCAGCTGTGCCCCGCCCCTCTCCCGCAGACACGGGACTGGGATGGGACCCGCACCGGTTCATGTGGCTGCCCGGGCAACCTCCCAGGTCCCCACCGGGAAGGTCCTGATGGGCTTTGTCTCCGGTGCAGCCGGGCCCAGGACTTTTCCCAGCTCCCCGGGGATTCTGGTGAGCCCCGCCGCTTGGGGTACCCCTGGGGTGAAGGAAAGTTCTGGGGGGCGGAGATGGGGCCCCCAGCTGACTGTCTCCCCGCTCTGAGCTCCTGGCCACGGGCCTCGGGGTGCGTAGCATCTACAAGGCTGTCGGACTGTGCTCACTCGCGGGGCTCACCCTCACTGCCCACTGGAGTCCCCCGTGAGCTTAAAAGGAAGAAGGCGGGGGCCTCAGGCCCCTTTAACCGAAATTGCAGGGCTCCCCGTGTGGCTGGAGTGACAGCTAGAGGTGCACCCCCCTCTCTGCGGTCACCCTGGGTCCTACAAGCCCGTGGTCCGGGCCACGCCCAGGTCAGGACCAGATAAAACTGCCTGCGTTCAGTCGGGATCCCCAGAGGCAGCCCACAGGGCAGTGTGCGGTCCCTGACATGCGGGACGTGGCCACTGCCAGCCGCTCCAAACGCCTTGAGTCCTTGTCACCAGCAGCTAACTGACCCGAGAGGGGCAGGTGCCCAGCCAAGTGCGTTTTCTCAGATGTGAGCGAGAAACGGGCTCCTCTGCCCGTGGGCGGCCGCACTGCGAGGGCTGCTGGACGTGCCCTCAGTGCCCACCTCGCCTGCCTGCCTTTGGGGGAGCACGCGACCACGGCCACGGCCACGGTCTGGTCCTTCCCTCGCCCGGGGCTGTAAACCCAGCCCATCAGGAAGCCGGCCTCTCCCACACGCCTGCCGCGGGGCGGGGGGCATTCACCTCTGTGCTCTCAGACACACGCAGGCAGGACTTTCCATGTACGTCTATTTTTGTAACTTTTTTGAGGAATTTTAGCCTCATATGTAGCACTGAACTTTGTAAGGTATGTTTTTTAAAATATGTTGTTACTGATTTCAGAGAGGAAGGGAGAGGGAGAGAGAGAGAGAGATCCGTGATGAGGGAGAATCATTGGTCGGCTGCCTCCTGCACGCCCCTCACTGGGGATCAAGCCCGCAGCCTGGGCACGTGCCCTGACGGGGAACGGAACGCCGGCTGGGCACCCAAGCCTTTTAGTCACCAGCGTGTTCTCACCACGTAACCCGGACTAAGACCTCACAGCCGTGGCCGGGTGGCTCAGTGGGTTAGAGTGCCAACCCAATACACCAGGGTTTCGCGTTTGATCCCAGGTCAGGACACATGAGAATCCACCGTGAATGCAAAAACAAGTGGAACAGCAAATAGCCATCTCTCTTGTGGGGCAGCTAAAGACAGCGGGCACTCCTGCTGCCTGCGCGGCCCGCCCTCTGGCCACCGCGCCACCTTCGCTTCTAGGGCGAGAGAAAACCTCAGCTCACCAGTCACCTTCGGAGGGCAGGCGTCAGGAGGACTGCCTGAGCCGTCGGATGGCTTTTATCGAAACGAGGGTCCGTGCTTTCAGAGACTTGTTGTATGTCCTTTTCACAAACTGTATCTGGGGTCAAAATAAGCGATGTGCGCGTGGCTTCTCTCTTCCCGCGGCAGGCACGGTGCACAGGCTGCCCTCTCTGAAGGCCTTCGAGTCCCCACCCTATCGCCTGGCGGTACATTTACATGCATTTAATTTTGTTTTTTATATAGAAGACCTCCCACCTAATTTGGCTGCAAAATAATCTTGCTGTGTAATAATAGAATCTCCGACAAACACGGAGACCCTGTCGGGTGGAGGTGACAGTGTAACTGAGTAGCTGGACAGAGCAGCCACTTCCTTCTGAACCAAGCAGTCACCCTCCAGCGCGCAGACACGGTACGTTTCTAACCTTGTGAGTGTGGAGAGAGGGAAGCAGTATTTGTACACGTGGGACGCAGGCCTCCCGGGCTGTGGTTTACACGTGGGATCAGGACTCACGGACTGTGTGTCGAGTGTTTAGCAATCAGGTGTACACCATTCGTTGTCTCTATGCATAAGTACCTATACCAATAATACTGTATTCCTGGCTAACAATGTTGATATTCGTTATTGATCCTATCTGACCTCCTGTAGATGTTCTTTCCTGATGACTTTTTAAAGTTCATTAATAAACTTTATTTTTAGAGCATTGTCGGGTTGAAACACTGCAAAACGGGGCAGAACGTAGGAAGTTCCCAACCCCCCCTCCCCCAAAAAAGCAGACCAAGTGCTAAAAGTCCATAGCAAAATATAATGTCATAGGCATAAAGGATTCAAGAAATGAGAAGTGAGCTGCCTGCTTTTGTCTATACTGGGAGTTAAAAGAAAAAAATATCCAGTGACCCTCCCTCCCTATCGCCGCCCACACCCCAGCGGCCTGGTCGCAGCTGAATGCCTGGAGGTTCCATGTGGGAGTGGGATCAGGATGGGGTCCCTCAGTGGGGGTCCCTCAGTGGGGGTCCCTCCAGGTGCCGTGCTGTGGGCGGTGCACTCTGATGCCAGCGCTTGATTCTACGGTCATTTCACGCCTGTGCACACCTCCTGAAAGCTCTCCTCAGATTCCCTTCGAGTTTCTCCGGCTCCGCGGAGCCCAGAGGGGTTCTGTGGCCACAGGTCTGCTTCCTGAGACCCCAAGCGAGCAGAGTGTTGGTGAGATCCCACCGGATTCAGCTCAGGGTGACTAATGCCCGCGGCCCTGGGCCTTGCTCCCAGATCCACACTAAAATATGAAGAATTCCATTGGATCCATAAAAGAAGTTAAACACCTTATAAGCATATCAGCGGGCAGATCATGGAAAATGCAAATGACTCATCACACTTAGAACCTATGTGTTCGACCGCACTCACCATCGAGAAGAGGCCAGTGAACCTGAGCGAGAACCCCTCTCCCCACACGTTCGGGGGGAGTAGGCAGAGTCACAGACTGTATGACAATCAAACGGTTAAACACGTGTGCCCCTGACATGGCAGTTCCCCTGGGACACATCACCTAATGAGACATTGTCAGTGACCGAACCTGTCTCCCCTTACATTTATTTGTCGAAGCCCAAACCCCCATGTGATGGTGTTAGGAGGTGAGGCTTTGGAGGAATTGGGGTTCCATGAGCTCCTGAGCTGGGACCCCAGGGGGGGTTAGAGTCCTTATAAGAAGAGGAAGAGAGCAGAGCCCCTCTCTCCCACGGGGAGGACACAGAAAGAGGGCAGCCCCCTGCAGCCGGACGAGAGCTCTCGCCAGGACCCGGCCGAGCTGGGCCCGGGGCTCGGAGTTCAGCCCCACGTCCGTGGGAAATGAGTGCTGCTGGGTAAGC